TTCGCGCGAACTTGATAATCCACCGATCCGAGTACTCTTCGCTCTCGTTGTTTGAAGACCGGTTACGCATCCTTCGCGCCGTGTTCCAAAGCGTATTCATAGACGTTTCGCGCGACAATCCGTCTACAAACTGCCGCCAGTAACCCCGTTTTTTGGCCTTGATGAGGCTCTTGAGTTCGCGTTCAAGAGATGTGTATGCGTCGAAATGCTCGCGTGTTCCGCGTTTCCGAAAAAGTTTAAACGCGTCGGACTTTTTACGGTAAATCTCCGTGCATTGTTGATCCCACCAGAGCAATGGTGTTTTCTTACGAATTGACGATCGCGTCACCGGTCGTGTTTGAGCTTGAAGTGCGCTGTCGACGATGAGATTAGAGAGGAAGTTATATTCCTCCAACGGCGGAAGCTCTTCCACTGACGATACTGTATCGCCTATCGCGGATTGAAACTTAGTTCAATCGATGTTACGGGTTAGATCATACGCGACGTTAACGGATTCTGACGAGTTGAACCCACTGGCAATCGAAATTTTGATCGGCAAGTGATCACTACCGTGGGGATCCTGGATCACATTCCACGTGCAATCCAACGATAATGAGTTAGAGCAAAGTGTGAGGTCTAATTTACTTCCATTGGAGGATGGACCAGCCAAACGTGTTACTTCTCCATTATTAAGAATTGACATAAGTTGAAGTTGTCACAGAGGTTATATATCAAAGTAGAACGGTTGTCATCATACAGTTATGTGTGTAGGCGTTCACCCAGATGGCAGGGCAGTGACGTGCAGCGTGGATGATCTTCGTTGTGGTGCACTTAATCGGAGCTCGGTACTCAGCGCACCCAGGCACACGATGCTGGATGATCGATGAGGTATGCATGATCACGCAACGATGAAGCGTCAATTAGTTTGAGAATTGCCAATCGCAAAGCTTTCTCTTTTCTTCCACTAAACCACACTTTCTTCTAAAAAACTCACTTTCGAACAATTAATTAGCCGGCAACTATGCCAGGAGTCACTAAGTGAGAAAAAACTGATAATTTTATCCAACGAACAGCGAGAAAACCTCCAAAGTAAGGGAGCGTGAAACAAGCCGACCGTACTTCTTGCTTGGACATAGTGGAATCAACCACGAATATTTTGGATCAGGAAATTTTAGCGAGAAATCCTGGTAATCAATTCTCGATACATCTTTTATTGACCGATTGAGCAAAAATGAAATTGGCAAAATATTGCTTATTGCGTTTCGGTGGTGAAAAAATAGTGATTTCCCTTTCACAGATTTCAGAATTGAGTACACAGCACAGAAAAAAAATAAACGAACGGTACCCTTATTTATGTTGAGTATATATAAACAACGCAGCATGCCATGCTTGTAGATCATAGCTTTCATAGCATTCCTACAGTTATCCTTATCGCTGATTCACAGAAATCATGGCATGCTTCGAAATTTTAAAAATAAGAAGAAGCAACATCCCAAAAGCATTGACCAAGAAAATCCCAAAAGCATTGTCAATTTCGATTTTCAAATCTGACGCTAAATGCTAATTTTTCTCTGAACTGGACAAATAAAGGCGTTCCTTCGAATTGTAGTGCGAATTAATCAGTACTCGAGTCCAGTTAGATTGTTCCCAAGCTTGTCGTGACTGGACCGAGGTTTCCAGCCTCGACAACGGCCTACACGAATTAATGGTGCAGCTCCCACGGCTGCGGCTGGTTTCAATTCTGCTGCTGTTCCTTCTGTTCTCCCGTCTCCTCCAAAACTCGTTACAAGAATCGTTCGTCTCCTCCAAAATTAAATCCAACAAATTTTCTGATATATATTCATTACTCCCTGATGCTTCTGAAGTTTTTGAATCAATCGTAAACGGGCGGACAAATGGAGTCACACGTTCCTCCGGGAGTGGAGCCATGCGAGCCTTGTATACGCGGCACCATTGACATCGCCTTGCAGCTTTCCTAACTTCTGTGCGCAGGTTCGAGACTTGATACTTCTGCCTGATCTCATTGACAACGGTCTCTCCGATTCGATGACCGTACATCCTGTGGTACCAATCGATCAGTAGCTCGGTGATAGGATGATTCTTTGGCAAGATCACTGGATACTTCGCGTTGAACGTAGCATATGGTGAGACACCTATATGACCACCCAACGGAGAAAACTTTCTTATCGGACTAGTTTTCTCAACGCTTGCCCAAGCATCACTACTCCTGTCCGGATTTCTCCTCAAGTTAGTCATCTCATCTGCGTACTTTCCTGAAGTCATCCTGGTCCAAATTCGCATCCGATACTCCCACTTTTCCATTCGAATCCACGACATCTTCCCACAAAATGGTAGACGTGCGCCGTAGTACGTAACAGACGTTCCCATTTCGAGAATCGACTGCAATCGATGAAGCTTGTGCCAACTATTTCGCTATGGACGTGAACTGCCCGCAGTTTTTCAGCAACTTCGATGAAATTTACCTTCTGCTGCGGCCGCTGGTCTTCAGGTTTGTATAGGAAGTCTGGACCTGCAAACCACCGATTGGATGGACGCACTTCGTGCCGTCATCAGCAACGTTGAGTCTAGACGGAACCTGTCGCCATTCTTGAATGTTCGTATCCTCCAAGATTTCTCCGACTCTCACTGCGACATATTGGCGATACCTTCTAGCGTCTGATCTTATCCACGACAGTACTGTATCAGAATCAGTCCAGCTGTAGCTTTTCTGGATTTCTATCGAATGATTCTCGACAATAGACTTCATCAATCGACTACCCAGCAATGCTGCGTGCAGTTCTAAGCGCGGAACTGATAATGGTTTCAGAGGTGCTACCTTCGTCTTCGACGCTACCAGTGCGCAACGTGGTTGTCTGCGGTCGATTACGCGGAAGTAAGCTAACAACGGGGAATTCGTGCTAGATCCAGTTCGTTGAAAATGTTTGCAAAACTTCTCCAGCTTTCTTCGACGCTCTCCGGAATTACGTCGTCCCATCCAACTCCACCTCTCCAAAGATCCTGGATCACTATTTTTCCATAGATGAGAACGTGAGATAATAGGCCGAGCGGATCGTATAAGCTCATGATGAATCGCAAAATCTTCCTCTTCGTTGGCACTGAATCTCCCAACACTAGACGCTGCAGATCCTCCGGAAAAGACAGGCTGAAGATGAATTCGTCCTCATTAGAAAGCCACGCCATTCCCAGCACACTTTCAACCTGATTCACCTTGTCGTTGCTGAGTTCCTTACGATGAACATTATTTTGCTCCCCGATACCTTGCAGCATCTTCGCTGAGTTTGACACCCAGTTCCGGCCTTTTCGTGTACCAAACGAACATCTACAGCTAGTTTCGCCATCTCTTCTTCGGTATCCCGGCTATCCAAGTAATCATCCACATAATGATTTTCTACTATAGCCACTGCTGCCTCCGGATACTCAAGCTCGAAGTTCTTTGCATTCAGGTTCTTTGTGTATTGAGCCTGGTACGGTGAACATGTCGACCTAAAAGTATGAATGAATATTTTCGGAACTGTTGATGGATCAGGACTCCATAAAAAACACTGAGCCAAGCGGTTCGCTAACCGAATGAAGAACTGATGATACATCTCACGCACGTCTCCAACGGCCGCTACTTGCCGTTGTCGAAATCGTGACAGCACTTTCGGAAGTGGAGTTAGCAGATCTGGCCCCTTCAATAGCAGTCCATCGAAGGATACCCCGTTTATCTTGGCAGTCTTCGATCTCCTGCTGCGACGCCTTGTGAGCGTAGCCTTTCTTGTGGTAATCTTCGATTTGCCCCTTCAAATTCGCTTGTAACTCCGGGTTCGATTTCAAACGACGATGAAGACAAGCTAATCTCCTTTCCGCCATAGCGTAACTAGGAGGAAACTATCACTGCGCCATAGTAATCCCGTTTCATAGCGACCGTCCTCCCGCCGTATTGTTGTTCTCGCCAGGATCTCTCTTGCTCGTCGATCTTCTTCTCCCTGGAGCCTACGTGGTACCGAAATACCAAGACTTTCCTCCGCAAAGAAATTTTCTACCAATTCGTGTAGACCCTCGTTCCTCGCATTCGCAGATATGAAACGATGGTGCGTCATTGATTCTAGTAGAATCACCGATGCTCCCGAACACAGTCCAGCCCAATCTGGTCTTCGTAGCGACTGGTTCATGTGCCCCCCCCCTTTCTCTCCTTTTGAGCGGAATCGAGAGAAGTGTGGAACTTTTCACTTGACGATGCACAGAGACGATGGCTGGTTCTTTGGATCCCGTATGCGAAGACTGATTGGATTCTGGCTAACCCGGATGTAACATCGTATTATGACCCTTAGAACAACCCCCTATATCACAGACCCGGGTTGATTTGCATGGCCACTTACCGTGTGCTACCAAGCATCGAACACAGAGTTGGTGCATTTGGACTGCTTTCCAACGATCCCCAAGCGTTCATGACTTAAATTTACCGTAGTCCCTGATTATATGCTTACGAAAGTCTTGCGAATAATACGCATTCCTTCGATTTTTGTTTCTCGGGCCGACTCAATCGCTGAACATCGTGGTCGCTGAAGTGAGTAACGTCGCTGGCCGCAGAAGTTATATTCGTCGTACAGTGCCCAATCCAAGACTACTTTGATCATTTTTGAGTAATTATGAGTTTCTCAAATTTACTCGGTGCAAAAATATTAACTCTGAGTACAGATGGGTTGCCCCTAGGTGAAAAGCGTTGCTATCTCAAAATTGACGAAAATCCATATGGGACTGATATGCGATTATAGGCAGTATGCGTAGAATTTCAACATGGGACAATTAGACTTGAAGTTGTTTTTATATAAGCCCCGAACAAATGGTATATTTTTCGATTTTCATTCGCAAGTTTACTTGAAAAGGAAGAAGTCATTCACAATGGTTTCGGTAGATTTTAGCGACCCTAAACATCCCTTTGTCGTGCAAAGATATATTTAACTCAACACACACGGGTGCAAATTAGCGAAAAACTACCACCGGCCAAGTGCCTTCAAAATCAAACCCCTATTCACTCCTCTTGGGTGTCGGTGTCCAACAGTTTATTAATGTTGCAAATATCCTTGGTGCTCCAGGGTTCCAGCGGATCCGGCGGTGAAGTGCCGCCCGTTTCCTGATCCATCAGCTGCCGATGGCGCGGTCTGCGATCGCTGCTCGTCGGAGCCGATTGCATCCGTTTGTCCTTCTTTCCGGAGACGCTTTCGTTCGACGTATCCGGCGAGACCTTGTTGTTCCGGTTCCGTCCCATTCCGTGGCGCTTCTTGTGTGGCTTCTTGCTACCCTCGGTCGAAATGCTGTCCCGCTCGAGGGAAGCCCGACTTCGCTGGTGGAACTGTTCCATCCGGCGGTGCACCTCCTCGACCGTCACGCCCTCTTCTTCGTCTTCCTTCGCTTCCTCGTCGACGTCGTGTTGCAGATCTTCGGTGCAGTACTCGTAGGCCGTGTTCAGCGCCCCAAAGTCCTCCGGTTGGGTCCGGGTCAGATTCTTGTCGTCCCAAGCGATCATAAACAGCGGATGCTGGTCGGTTTTCTTCTTCCTGGAGGTGGTTCTCGAGACGGCCGACTTGGCGCGTCGTATTAACGAAATCTTTCCAAGGACTGGCTTTTCAGCCGCTTCGCTATCGGTATCCTCCAGCGCTTCCAGTGTTTTGAGGAACTCGCGTTCCTTCACCGGATCGACAATGTCCTTTGCTTCCAGGAAGGGATTCAACTGACCCAAGGTCTGCTGTTCCTGTTGCTTATGTTCCTCCTGCCGGAGCTGGCTCTGCTTGGCCAAATTAATCTCGTGCACGTGGTCCAAGGTGGACGCATCAATCGCCAGGGTTTTGCAATTCTGTACGTAGGTATCGTCCACCGTGGTCGATTCCGAGATGATGACCAGCTCCCGCAGGGGATCCTTGTAGTCCTTCATCGGGGGAAAATCGTCGTAGGCCGGCGGAGCGCTGACCACGGATTGCCGTTTGATCAGGGGCGGTTGAGGAGGAATCTCCGGAACGGTTTGCGGTCTGACGGTAGCCGGTTTGTTTGGATCAATCGTTGGTGGTCCCATCGAAGTTGGTTCAGTACTCACCATGACGATGTCCTGCGTGAAGGACATAACGTCGATTGCAGCCGTGATCGCGAACGGGTCCTCGTCTTCGTAACCCTTTTTCCTGTGGTGGAATATTTAAGGCATTAATCTTGACAAAAGCAATGAGATATAAAGAACTTACTTTTTGGCGACCTTGGCCGGCGAAGTGATCGACGATCTTCCCCACATGATCCTACGCAGTTCCTCACCCGTCATGCCACGTTTCTTCAGCTCGTTTAACGTCACACGCAAAACGCTCTTCCAGTTACTTACCGCTCCCTTCCGTTGTCTAGCACGGGTCTTGCTCTTGCTCTTGATGACCATGACGCCACGAATTTCGTACCTGGGATCATCGGACGGTCCCAGTCCAATTGAGTATTCCTCCAGGTACTTTTTAGCGTCTTCCTGCTTGACGGCCCGCTCCAGATTGACCACAATCTTAGCCCACTGCTTCATACCTTCCTTTTCGGCTTGCTCGATGACGTACGCATAGGTATTACCCATCATGGCGATCAACATGTTGAGCAACAGGATCGGCACGAAGATCATGAAGATGATGAAGACGGTTTTCGCCAGATTCGGATAGGTCGTCAGGTTCAAATCGGCATACTGGCGCAAGATCGAGCGAGTTATCTAAAACAGTTAAAGCTATGAAATTTCAAGACTTACATCGTAATCACCGAGGGTGGTTTGGAACAGCCCCATCCAGGTGCCGAAGTAACTGCCGAACGGGGAATCTTCCGCCTCTGGATGACCCTTGTACAGGAAGTAGAAAGCCTGCGAGAATCCAAACAGCACGATCATGTAGATGATACCGAAGGTGAACATGTCACCGGTGATCATGGAGAAGATCATCGTTACGAACGGACCCGTCAACCCGATGGCGCTGCGAACGTTAAATGGAAGTTATTGACTTGACTTTTGAGTGGTTCCAAAGTCACAGACCCAGCAAAGAACATCAGCAGGAACCAACTACCCGGAACGGCAAACAGCAGGATCGCCTCTTCGTGTTCGACGTCGCCCATCATACGGAACGGAATGCACGCCAGGATCATCAGATTGGAAATCAAGAATATCGCCTTCGCTGGTGTATGACCCTGCAAGCAAGAATCGATCGATGAACTTTACTAACCTGCTGCTCATGTGGAAACTCACAAGCGACTTGATGAACGAAACCAGTCCCTGGTTCTTGATCTCGTCGCCCTGTTGCAGCACAACGTAGCTCAGCACTCCCATAACGGTGGCTATCTCGAAGCCATACCGGAACCAGGTCGTCAAATCGATTCCCTCATCCTCGCCGTAGACACCATCCGGCGCAGCCGTCACTGATGAATCCGCTTTACCCGGTGTGTCATTGCTTGCGTCCTTGAATACCCGCACCGGTCGCAGGTACACCGAGCAGGACAAACAGAACAGATGCAGGGCGAGGATTAGTAGTCGCTTCAAGAACTGGTTCCTGGCGAACGTTTTCCACTTCTCGTCCAGCAAACGCTCCACAATGCCGCCGTCCAGCATGTTCAGATGCTCCTCCTTGGTTCCGTTGAGGATGATGAACAGCGCCGAGTTCCAGTTGGTAGATCCGTCCGGCATCAGCGTGTCCAAGGCATTCAACGGATAGCCGGAACAGGTGATGTTACTGTATCGCCAGAATTCCCTCGCCGAAAGCTCCAACATCTCACGGAACACTTCGTCACGACCTAGTCGACAGGCCAAGGTCAACGGAGTGAGTCCAGATTCATTTACGATCCCGTTTTTGCAAGGCAGCTTTGGATGCCGCAAAGCGTACCCGAACATATCCAGCTTATCGCCTACGACCACCATGTGTAGAATCATGTTTCCGAAGCTGTCCTGAGCATTCGGATCCGCCCCGCATTCCAACAGTAGGTTATAGACCGATTCATTGGCGCAGCAGGCAGCCCACGCTAGCGGGTACTCGCCCAGGTAGGCCAGCCCTTCGTAGTCGGTATTCTTGGCCGGTTTCAACCCCTGCTGATCCCGTGGAAGGAAGAACCGTCCGATGGCACGCTGGGACACGTCCGCTCCGGCATCGATCAGATCGCCCACCAACTCGTTGTTGCTGTACGCGATCGCCAGGTGGAGTGCACTAGCGCCCAGGTACTCCTCGCCTTCCATCACGTCGATCGACAGCTCCGGAAACACGCGCAGCAGGATACGGGCCAACCTAAAGGAGTTCTAGCTTAGATCTTCAAGTTCTCCCGACAAACGGACAGATCTTACTTGGTGTGAATTTTCGTATCGCAGATGATCAACACATGCAGCAGGCTCTCGCCGAGCAATCCACGGTACTGCATCTGCCAGCAGGCTTTGTGATCGACCCATTTTCCCAGTGGGTCATGCGGCGACAGGGAAGCCTCAATCGGAATGACGACCTTGAAACGAGGAAAAATCAATACCCACCCAGCTTACGTAACACCGACAAACCTCGTGATTATCCATGTACTTCCAGCGCAGATACTCGGCCCGATTGATGATCTGCCCGCGGCCACTATGGTACATGAACACCCCGAACTGCTCCCGGATCAGTTGCTCGACGGCCTTCTGACCGCCGACCTGGAACGCATCGATCAGATCGCCACCGTGCTTGTAGTTGGCCATCTTGTACAGCAGACACTGATTGGAGGCATTGGCCGACTGGGAAATCACTTGATCCAGGATAGCACCGCCCTGAGGAATGTTCCTCTTCTTGCGGCACAACATCCGCCGCCAGTCGAACTGAACCATCTTCCGTGTCCCTGGAACAACTGGACCAGGACGGTTCTCTTCGTTGTACACCTACTGGAATTAGAACAACAGCAGCTCGCAGCAAATCGAAGCGGTACCATTTGATTCGACGATTGCTTTCAGACTGAAAAATCGAATCGGATTCAACAACGGTGCACGGCGTTCCGTCCCGGTTGGCATGGTGCCACTGTTGGTTCCATTGCGCATGAGTGCGATACACGACACGCGTGTTGCATCCGTCGGCGCGGTTAACAGGTGAATGTTTTTCCGGATGATCTGTTGCAGTCAAAGTTGCCAGGTATTTTTTGGAAATATCAGGAACCTTAGCGATGACAAATCAGTGATGACAACGACGCAAGTTGCGTCATTCACATGCATTTTTGTCGATGGACGCAGTTCATAAGTTGCGTCTTTCTAATTTAAAATAAATCACATGTCTAAGATTCTTGCACTTTGATAATTTTGATGATGAACTCAAATAAATTTAAGAAACTCTAGGGCACTAGAATTTTTTGACATCTGAGATTTAAAACAATTAGAATTGCAGACTGGAAGAATTTTTTCTCAAGCCTCCGAGACTTTGATCTCTTCATTCGAGATTTTGCCGCCTCTATTTTGAAACCTAGACTGCAATCATGTGACTTCGATGCGTCGATAAGTGAAGCGTCTAAAATGGTTTATAACTTTAGAGGATCGATGGATAGAGACTGTTGTGATAACAGTATGCACGCTTCCGGTTTTCTAAATTCCAAGATGACGACGTTTGGCTTGTGGAAAACTGTCAAACACCCAACAATATGGATATGTTCAGAACGGGGACGACGTGTAGAGGCCGGAAATCGATTGGAAGTGATATCCACAGCGGTTCAAAGGACTAAAACAATTCCTCAACATAGGTACTCCTTAGTACACACCTTGTTCTGTTATGGCATCTGATAAAACTCCTTACAAAATAAATCTACCTATCTACATCAACTAACTCTAATCCTAGAACCTACTTTCGCCACTTTGCCTCACTATTCATGAGGCGGCTGATGTTGCTGCTGCGGTTGGTGATGGTGATGATGATGATGTTGCTGAACCAACGTCGGAGATTGCTGAATGATGTGAGTTTGTGCTTGGTGATGATGTTGTTGTTGTTGTTGCTGCTGCTGTTGATGTTGTTGAAGTTGTTGCACCTGTGCCGCGTTCAGGAATACCCCCGCCGGGGCCGCCTGGATGATGGTTGGTGCTGTCTGCAGTTGCGGTGCCTGAATGATGATCGGTTGAGGCCCGCCATGTGAGGTGGCACCCGCTGCAGCCGCACCCTGCAACTGCATCTGCGAGCGAATGAAGTTGAGCTGGTTTTGCGTCAGGGGGATCTGCAATGGTGAATGGAGAACTTGTAGGGGGAGGGGGATCGATTGAGTGATTGATATTGAGGTTACTAACGGGAATGTGTGTCACTTCGCCGCTCGGGGTCAGGACTTGTTGGACCAGCTGGAATGGTTGTGCCGTCGATGCCATCTGGGTCGGTGTGATGGCATTGGCTGTGGTTGGAACTGCCGTCGTCGTATGCATGGTGGCCGTCCCCGTGACTGGATTGGTGAGGATTATGTTCTGTGTCGTCGGGCTGGTGATGGTGGTGATCTGAAACGGAACCGAATGGTTAATCATGCAGGGTTTCTAGCTGAAACTATTCCTAACTTACCTGCGGCGTTTGAGCTTGTACCGATTGCGTCTGCTGCGTCATGTGCGGTTGTTGAATGATCTGCTGAGTCATGACGGGCGATGTTTGAACCTGAACGATGTTGGTCCCGCTAGTGCTGGGCCCAGCGCCACTGGTCGTCGTCCCACTGGTGCCTTGCAGGGCTTGCTGGTGCTGCTGAGCCAACTGGAGGTAGTACTGTACGTCGTCCGTCGACGATTTGGTCTCGAAATCCCTCCGGACCGGTTTGATCTCCTCCCGCGGGACGATATCGATCAGAAAATCAAACTGATCGTACTTGGCAATGGCCATGGCAATGTCACTCCGCTGCAGGGTGCGCCGTTTGTTGTCCTCGGTGTGCAGCCATGCCCGCAGAGTCAGCTCCTGGATGAAGATTTCGGCGGCTTTGGCAAAGAGAAGGGGCGCCTCGGCGGAAATCATCTTGACGTCTTCGTCCAGCTTCATGATCTTTTTGATCCGGGCCAGCGGGAGCACCTGATTTCCGGGTTCGACGTGCTTTATTCGCTGCATGTCCTCCATCACCTCCGGCCAGAACTCTTCGATGGAACGTTGGGCTTCGCTCATCTTTTCCCCCGAGTGGCTCCCGGAACCGTGGTCGGTCATCTGGAATTGGATTCAAGAGGGTGTGATGAATATAGCTCGGAGGTTATGAAATCTTGAGTTGAGATGATATTCTCGCAATCTTTGATTAGATTCTGGAAGCAATATTATAGGAAAGGTGATTAGGCCTAGATTTGAAGTCTTCCATATTTATGCATTAAAGTGACCACCTTATAGTATCAAATTCAGTATAGAATTATTAAACCTACACACTTGGAAATAACTAATTTTACACGTGACGGAATCCGTCTTTGACATAAAAGATGAGACGTAAACAAACATGTCATGTAATATTAAGTGCTCCGAGACTGAAAAGTTCGTTGCTCGACGAAAAGTACGTTTGATTGAGCTGTATTTCACGTCTGTTATGACTCAAATTTATGTCAAAATTGACGCTCGTATATGTCACACCTAAATTTACATGATTTTTTCTAAGTGTGTAATGAATTAAATTAAAAAAAATCTTTGAAGACATGTTGAAATAATCATAGAAATTCCCAAAGGTAGTCTGAGAAAAGCTCAAAGGAAATGATTTACTTAATTCAGACATTTAAAACGCTGAAATCAAGATTCTGAGACGACTTTGATTGGTAACAATTATTTGAAGATTTTGGTTTACAAAAACTATTCAAAATTATGGGTCCAGAAGTTTAAGAAAAGTGTAACTGTGTGTGAAAATAGAGATTTCAAACTCCTCTATCGTACACAAATTTAATTCTAATTCTGTATAATGAAAAAAATTCAAGGTTCAAAAATTAACAAAAATATTAAAAATGTCGGACAACTGACAACGATAAAAACTTTGTAAGATTGCAAAAATTAGCAAAAAATTCCGTATCTGATGCTTAGGAACAATTAAGGATTTTCACTGAAATCATTTATGAAAACCGTGTACGATCTTAGACTTGATAAATTTCCGAAACTCTGGGACATTGCTATTTACTTTAGATCTCAGACATAATTTTTGGTATCCCATTCTAAGGAAAGATTCTAAGTGGAATATTTGAGATATCGGAGAATCTGTTTCAGAATTTAATTCAAATAAATCCGGACATGGCAATCTTGTTGGGGTTTAAAAATACGTTTTATTTTCGTAGTTCAATGTAACAGCTATACATAAGACCATTGGTTCAGTCTTTCTTTTTACCATAGGCCATTGCTCGAACTTTTCTTCGTACACGGCCCATTATTTTTTGCATGAGCACTGTTCCCACTTGTTTGGCTGCCAAATGGCATTTCCGCTTGAAATCTTTCAGGTCAATTGCAGTTTCTCCCTCTTTCTTCAGTGCTTGTGCTGCACAATTGACCAGTATTCCTCAATTGGCCTTAGTTCCGGAATATTGACCGGATTCATCTCCTTGGAAACCACTGTGACGTAATTTTCGCTGAACCACTGTTTGGTGGAATTTGAGTAGTGGCCTCATGCTGTTCCAGAAAAGTCAGTAGTTTCTTCCGAAGAGCACTCATCCTGGTAAATTTGCTGGTTCATCGTCCCAAAAGTAACGAAAGTTTCGCTTTTCAGCCCACAACTGCAGCGGCGCCGGTGGTGTTGTGGTAAGCGTGATTACCTCTCACCCCAGCAAAAAAAAAGAAGCCCACAACTGCAGATTGCTTGCCAGACAAGGAACTTTTTGGGGAATTTCGTCTTCTTTTTGGTTTTATATTCTTCCGGTCAACCCAGAAATTTGATCGAAAACTGCCAGGAGCGGATAAACCGGGATTTTCGTTTCAAGCGTGCTGGATCGAATCGCGACGTGCTTGCTCCGGTGAACCCATGCTGTAAACAAATTAACTTATCCTGACAACCAATGCCTACTGTGATTGTATACACTCTGGCAAGACCTGGATTCAAATCTGGCCGCCTTTATTGTTCTTTCTGCATAACAGAATTGTTAATGTAGCTCAACTCTCGCAGAAGATTCTGCTCTGATCCTTCGTTCGAGATTGGATACCCACGGCAGTACGAATTGAATAGTTCAAAAATAAGAAGCGTATTCCGGAATAAAGCCTCCAGTATGTGACCTTTGGGTAAAGCACGTGGACGTGCCGAGTCATAATGAGTTTTGGTGAACTTTTCCAATACTGAACCGTTCTAAATTTAAATCCAATCTATGGATATCGCATTAGCCATTTCTTCGGTTATCTAGGTAGCCATGACAAATATTTAGATTTTTTTTTAATTTGTTATCTTAAAAAAGGAATGTTTTAGTTAATATTAATTTTTATTCATTGAATTCAATTGTGAACAAGGATTGTTTAAAATATAACTAAAAATAATTAACAGTTTACAAATGTCCACTATTGTACATCACTACAGCACGAAGAAGCTGCCGATCATATACTTCAGAGGTTTCTGGGGCCTTGACACGATTCCAAACAATTTGAAAATCGAAATGTACAGTTTCACTGGCTTGCTCCCCATATTTGCTCAAACCACTTCCAGTGATTTTACAAAATTCTGGGACATGGTATCGCAAAATATGGAATTTGGAGCTATTGGGTAAGCTGGCTGCAATCCACGTCCTAGAAAAGTTCTCAACATTTTCTACGTAATCTTCACATAGATTTTCTTGAAAACAACCCTTGTAGACAAGATCAAATTGATCGAGTACCTGCAATATAATTAGCATTATAAAACGATAATTGAAATAACGATAAGATTACTTGCAGTTCTTAGCAACTTCAAGGTTCCATCAGATTGCAAAACATGTCGATTTTGCAGCAGTTTGTGGCAATTCCGTCCGGTGAATCCGTATTTGCTGTGACGTTGGCAGCTACTGATACTTGCCCAATCCATAGCAGTGTCTGAATCAATGGATTCCACCTTCTTGTAGATTGCATTTATAATTCCAAGCGTAATGTGTAAGGAAGGCGGTGGACAGAGGGTTATGATTTGGTCGTCAGATGATCCGCACAGCAATGGCTCATCAATACAATTGAAAAAGTTTCTCGCCAGTTTATTTGCGGACCCCTGGCTTTTCCATGCCGCTGACATCTCACGAATATGTCCGAGAGTTCGAGGCTGTGCAGCTGTATTGCAAAGATTATTCTTCGGTGCGGTGCAATAAGGACAAGGAAATGTCGAGCTGTGTCCCATTATTCCACTAAGGAGGTTGACAATCTTCAAATCCCCGGCAACAAAGCACTTGAAATTGTTCAGGTGCAAGAGTGTACTCCATATATTTGCGATATTAGCATATTTTTCGGGGACTCCAGGAGCAACTGCTAACAGTAATAGCATTTTTACACCAGTATCCTTGCAATGGCCTCGTGTTTCATTCAACTTGGAGTTCGTGGTTTGAGATCTTTCGATAATAAACAGAGTCACTTTAAAAGAACCGCCCCCTCCGTCAACACCGATTTTACAGAACGAGCTTGTCAAATCAACGCCTCTTTTGGATATAACATGCTCTACCAATCCTTGCACGTCGTTACAATAGACCACTGTCTTCAAAACCATTTCTTCACTATCGTTCAAATAGAATGGTAATTCAGCTACCTCGAAAAAACGCTGGAGTGATTGGTTTAGGATTGTTATTTTGGAAGAGACGTTGGGGGCGATTTCGATGTCTAAGCCCCTTAGACAGGTGCTCAGTTGTAATGTCCGTCTGGTACTCAAATCGCAAGTCTTTTTTTTATCAAAAACAAATCGTCAGCGGACAGATGTGGTTTCCTTTTCACCTGAATACCAGTAGTAGTGGATTTCCAGCTGGATGGTAGTCCGTGTAGATTAGAGAGCTTTACCTGACCATCTCCATCCGTGGGTTTGTCCCTCATATACTTCGCAACGACAGGGTCTCCAGCATCTTGAGCGTTCTGGACAATCCCGAGCAAATTGCGCTTCGCTACAGTCTTCGTACATGTATGTCGTTTACCTTTTGCCATTTCCGAATAGCAATATGGACACAAACTCAACTGGCACTTTTTTTCGCATTACCCGAGGAGCTGGGTCTGCCACGTTTCCCCTTGGATTTAGGTGAAATTGTCACTCTTGCAGCAATGCATATCTTGCATGCGCAAATATCAGCGCTTCGAGTGGCAAGTTTTAAATTGTACTTATACTTGTACAGCGTGGTATTATCAGAATTATTCTGATTACTATTCGAATAAACTGTAAACGAACATGTTCGACAAATTTTTGTAGGATAATTCTAACCTATCGATCTAACATCGTGAAGAAAGTGTTGTTCGATAATATCAACCACCTTTGTTGATAGTGGTTGAAGATGCAGCTTCTTCAAGCACAGTATGCACACCACCAAACGATTTTCTTCGTGACTTTTCGGTTTCATGTTTAAGTTTTGCTGTTAGAATTATATGTGTATATAGATAAACGTTTGAATATTTTTTAATTAGATAGAGCCATACCAAAACGATGACACAAAACAACAAAAGTTCACTTTTTCACAAGAAACAAATACCAGTTGGTTCACAATACCACGTGCGCAGAATGCATATGACAGATAGGCTTTTAGTGTCATGACCTGCTACGATCAAATTGTATCCAAATCATAAGTTCCACTGATTTTTTTCAAACCATCCTTTGAAAAGGATGACTTTTGATAATTTTCAACCGTAATTCATACAAAAAAAAATTCTAGACCCCCCGATAGAACATTTCGAGGTTAGTCTCATTTGAAAGGGGAGAGCATAAGCTTTCGTTTGGTGAGTGTTTTAGCGATACTGATTTTTTTTTATTAATGTTGTTCTACCAAAGACACCGTGAATATATCATCAAAGGAAACCGTTCGGCATTTTTCAATCGAAAACGAATCGTCACTAGAGGTAACCTGTTCCAGACGTCTTGACTGCCGTATCGACGAGACCCTCTTGACTGGCCATGGTGTGGATGAACTCGATTGAAGTGAGGCCCAAATAGTAGCTGCTTTAGATAAAAACACGAGCCACTGGGATTGCTTTTTTTTTAATAATCCATTTATTTGTCAAGGCTCAAATGCGTTAGCTTTGCGGAGCCGAATATTTTTTACATGATTGTGTGTGAA